AGAGAGAGAGAGAGAGAGAGAGAGAGAGAGAGAGAGAGAGAGAGAGAGGGTGGACATCTCTCCATGTCTGCTGTTGTTGGCGCCTCCAGCCTCACACAAAGGCAAATGTGAAAAAATCCCTTTTCATGTTTGGTACACTAGTTATCAAAGACACAGCAACAAACTCAATCTAGTCTCATAACAATATCAAAATTTTGAAATGAATGTTTAAAAGGCACTGGAGTTTGTGCAAGCCCTCTCTTCCTGTGCATTGAAATGGGAGAGTGTTGAATTGTTGACTCCAGTTCAGCGCAGTCCTTGCGTGTGATAAATTTGACCGGAGCTGCATCATTTTTAAAAAGAAAAGAAAAACCCGAGTCACCGTAGAAGTGCATTTAATGTTTTGTGTCAGGAAACAAGCGTGACTTGCTTTACACGGCATCATGTAGCGTAAATTCAGACCCATGCACCTTCAGTTTATCCTGGCTAACGATACGCTTCTGAGTTTACCAAGCTTTCCCGAGAGGTTAGTCCGAATCTATGTGTACCCATGCTGTTTAACTGAGCCAAGTAGGGTTTTCTCTTTCTTTTTTTTCTTCTTTTTAAAAAAACAACTTACTTGGCAGCAATGCCACACCCGACATGTGACTACTCGTCGCACACGTGCAATGTTTGTTTTCTGCATTTCTCCGAATTCGGTTCAGCCGTGCACTCACTAAGAGAGAAGTCCTATTTCTAAATATGGGCTTAAAAAAGGAGTTATTATACTTACTACAGTGCTTTTATGGTTAATGTACATATAATGTATAAACCCTAACAGGCTGTATATTAACACGGTCACGGCTGAGGATTAGCTAAAGCATGTATTATAGGAGTTGAACAAATGGAGAAATAAACATTTTAATAATGTTTTACTGTGGCTCATATAATGACTTCCATATATTCTGAAGCATCATGCTGAACAGAACAGTGATCTTCAGCAGGGTGGTGGTGCTGCAACCGAATATCTCTGATAGAGACTCTAGATCAGCTAGCTACCGAGAGCTCAGCCTGGCAGCAAAGAGCCGAGCTGACGGCCATTTTGAGTTGCTCACTGAATTCAGGCGCAGTGAATGAGGCCGTAGGGTGGGGGAGGGGGATCTCGTGCTCTGCGCAGTGTGCAATAACATTGGAATGTGAGGTACTGGTCACCGTGCTCACAACTTCCACCGCTCTTTATCTTTTTATTTGTCATCATTTGTTTATTTGTTGTGCTGCATTGGAAGCAGTTCTTCTTCAGGAGTTTATTATCATTGCAGGCAGCATGGTTGCTGGTATGGAAGCAGAGTAGGAGTTGTGCGTGTACAGTTTAAGCTGTAGGCCCACAGTAAGTCGGGATCGGTGCCCTTAGTGAAGTGCACTTTTTCCCTGCACATGTGACAACCTGCCAAGTGGCAAAATGCACATAGCTAAATTCAAAAAAGGAGCCATTCAGGTGGCTCTGTCAACTGCAGTCTAGCAGGCCGGCAATGCAGCAACGGTGAAGCTAACCAGCCTCACAGTGGAGAAGTGAAGCAGCTCGTTGCTCCCAGCAGATCAGCTACTTGAATGATGGCTGGCTTTGCATTCTGAAACCGACGGATTCGACTACATACAGTACCTACCATTTCAGTACGTCTGCGTTGTGTTTTGACATTAGGTGAGTCGACAGACTGATGGATCTCAGGAATAAAGGAATCCCTTGTGGCCGCACATTCTTGAGCTCATCCTCACTAAGACGCAGGTTGGGAACGTGTATGAAAGGTGCTTTCTTGCAGTTCTCCTCTCTGTCCGTTGTTCTGGCAAAATTCTCCCTGTTTTTAATTTTCTTCGTGTGATTGGTTACAGTGTCACGTCTCTAATTGGGTTCTCTTAGCCTGCAAATAATTCACAAGTCAGCTTTTGTGCATCGACTTTAGTATTAGAAAGTATCCTGTTCTTAAGATTTGTTGGCAAAGAAAAGTAAAACTGGAGTAACGTTCAGATGTCTCAACATTCTCAGGAATCACGTCACCGTCTGAGATATATATATACCAGCCTTTTCTGTCCACAGAGTCTTAATAAATGTGAATATACTTACTTGTCCTCAACATAATTGTTCCTCCAGTTTGATGAAAGTCGTAGCGACCCCACAAATAAATATCTACTTTTGGTGCCAAGGACTCAGTTTCAGCTCAAGGGAAGGAGATAGACCACTTCATTCAGAGGAGCTACATTTAGGGTTACACTTCCACTTCCATGCTCTGTGGATTTAATACAAAGTTGATGTCGTCCTCCTAGTTTGAAGCGGTAATATAGAGTTTGCTAAATTTCTAATCTCTTTCTCCCTCAGGTTGTCGAAGGATTCTGTGGTAAATCAATGAGCAAGATCCTCTCGGGTTGAAGGTGAGTTATCCTTAGATAATCTATGTAGTGTGTGCGTCGCATGTTATTTAATATCAGAGCACATTTCTTGTTTGCTGCTGAATGTAAAATGAGAATTTTACTGCAGCACACAGCTTTAATGCATTTCAAATTATTTTTGACTCCCATTGAAAGAAGTTTAAATCCTCACACACACATATGCATGTCAAATTGAATACACATGAAGTGAATGCATGTGAAATTAGACAACTAGCCTAAACACTACAACGTGTGCCACAATCAGAGCTAAGTACGTAAAAAAATCCTCCAGGTTTTGCATAACCTCCCTACTGCTGCCAACACAGCCTTGACTGGCCCGTTCTGATTTGCTGAGGCCTGAACCAATAGGATCGCGGGGGGATGGGAGGAAGGTTTGGTTGCTGCTGTTAACTTCAATATCCTTTCTGTTCTCGGGATCGGGGCTTTGGTAAACATGAAGTCCATAGTTTAATCAGGAAATTAAGGAAAGTGGAATTTGTCCGAGCAGTTGAGAGTTTTTCTGAGGGACATGAAAAAGCCTCCCTGGCTTACTGAGCTGCAGCTTGACTGATGTCCCTGTTGGACAGATACATCCATGTGTGATCGGGCAGTGAGGATCTGTCTGATTTTAGCTTGTCGAATTTTAGTAAAGAATCCGGCTGTCGGGGAACCGACCAGTTTGGTTTTGCAGATCTCTGTGAATGAAGAACCCTCTAGAAAAGAACAAACAGGAAAGCCACGGGGCTCCACAGTGACCTCTAGTGTTTGATCTGAAACCCTGCAGCCTTTCCTGTACCATGCAGTGCCCCTTGATAACTTTCCAGCCCTTTGATAACATCTGATCTCTCCTGCACAGGCAGCAATGGAAGTTGTTGTGACCGAGGAGAAGAAGAAGAAGATTTTCCGGGCCAGGAAAACCATGAAGATCAGCGACCGACAGCAACTGGAGTGTCTTCACAGCACTTTGTTGACAGCCGCTTCGGGTGTGTCCGACGCGTCGCCGCCACCGTCTCTAGTGAACGGCACGCACAGAGAGGACGGACCAAAAGCGGGGGACAAGGAGCAGAACAACGCCTCGGACTCAAACTCCGGAGATGCGTCCCCCGCCTCCCCGGCTCCTTACCTGTCCCTCAATCTGTCCCCGTCCCCGGCCTCTTCGGAAAGTCCAAAAGCGAAGGAAGAAACTCCTCCCACGTCGCCATTCCACTCTCTGAACTTTGAACTGAAAAAGATGGAGGGCGACGAGGAGGAGGAGGAGGAGGAGGTGAAGGAGAAGAAAGGCTCACCGGTGTCTTCATCAAAGGAGTCCGTTACACCAGCATCAACAGAATCCAAGGAAAACCAGGAAAAAGAATCTGAGGTGACCCCAAAGACGGAAAAGAAAGAGGTGAATGCCCAGACTTTCTTAGGAAATAGCTCGCACACCAGACTTTATCCTGAGTTAATGTTGAAGTGTAGATTAATTAATCAATGGTTCATTATGTTCTTCCCCAGGAGGACCAGACTACAACAGAGGACCCAGATGTGGATTTGTCCAAGAATTCTGTCAAAGGTTCAGCTCCATGTTCACCCGTCCCCGCTCCGGGGTCTGGCTGCACAGAACCAATGGATACTGATAGTGGCACTACGAAGGCCAAGGACCCCGCGGCCTCCACAGTCAAAATAAAAGATCAGAAGCCCTTTTGCCTCAAATCTACCACTTCCGATTCCTCTGTTCCTTCTCCTGTCTCGTCTCATCCAGCGTCCTCTTCTAAGGATGCGAAGCAAGACAAGGGAATCAAAGAGGACATAAAAGAAGAGGGTGTGAAGAAAGGATCAATCGGTGAGGAAAAGATGGAGGTGGACTCAACCAAAAAGAAAAAGACTTTAGTTGGACAAACAAAAAAGACATCTCGGCCATCTTCCACTCCACCATCTAATACAGGTATGAGAGAGTGAAAACCAAAGCAGAGATATTAGATGCGTCATTCAATATTATATTAAAGCAGAGCTTTAGGTTACTGTTCTCTAGTTGAGCCAACGTAGACCGGAAATGGGAGGCTATGGGATTTTATTACAGAGACTCTGCTTGTAATTATAGGGTGTATTACATGTTAATGAGATGTCATTTAAATTCGTACTCAAACAATGTCTCTTTGTTAGAGCCTCCCTGCTTTGACCTTTTAAACTCCACGCCCACACTCTGTCAAAAAAGGCTGTCTGTCATAGATTTGTAGTCTTCAGTGATGTCACACAGACTTGTGACTTACTTCCTGTGACTTGTAAGACGGTCTTGACACAGACCGAGCCTCCATAGAACAGTGCCAGCGAGCATTTTATGCATACAAGGTACTAGTCTGCGTTTGTCTTTTGTTTCCCAAGTAGTGCAGGAGGAGAAGGGCTCCACGTCGGGACTGAAGCGCACTTTATCAGAGGGTTTCGAAAAAGACGGACAAACCATAAAAAGAGAGGGGAAGAGGCCCAAGGTGGAGCGCCAGGAGCTGGAGGCGCAACTGGAATTTAAATTTACCGCCAAAGCCGGCGATCCCCACAAACTTGAAAAGGTTCGTACATGCATCTATGCTAAAGTCTGCGCTAACTCAACTCTGCTTTGATGCCAATGGGTCTTTCATGACTTTAACCTTTTTTACGTTCCTTCTCAGATTGTGCAACAGATGGTTGATGAACGGCTGAGGGCCCTGGAGCTGACCAATTTTGACAAACATTTCCAAGAGCTGAAGGACAGAGTAGACAAGCTTGAGGGTACCAATAAACGGCAAAACGCCATCCTCACACTCCAAGTAAGTAGACGGTCCCACTCACAGATGTTCTCTTTGTTCCTGATTAGTACTATGTAGGTACGGAGCCGCTAGAATTCACTTCTTTCTCTTTCTCTCTTCCCCCGTTTGTTTAGGCCAGGATAAACCGCCTAACAAAGAAGTTTGGAGAGGCCAATCAGGCGTCAGAGTACAAAAGGCAACAGGAGGTAAGAGATGTTTTTCATTTTGTTGCACGCTAAAATCCTTTGCACCTGGTATGGAGGCGATTGTGTCTGAAGCTGTCTGGATTTCCGCAGTCCCTTGCTGCCGTTAGTGCTGCTGCCGTAGCCGCCGCCGCCGCCGCTACTGCTGCCGCCGCCGCCACCGCTGCTGCCGCCAAGCCCCCAAACAGCCCTCAAGTTCAACGGTAAGTGTGTCCGTGCACAGAGTTATTTCTCCTCCAAGTCTTTGTCAGCCATACTACATATGTGTTAACTTATGAATTTAGAAATGAGGTTCTCTTATTGGAAGTGATTTTTTTTATTTTTAAATCTCAGTGCCAGCTCATAACCATTTCATCCCTCTGACGAAATATTTAGATGAATCAAAATTCCCAGCATAGATGTGTTGAAACATGTTATCTTTGAATTATACAGCAGTCTGTCCACTTTGGTATTTTGTGTGAATATAATTTGGCCTTTGTATGAACGTGACAATACCGGACTGAAGCCCGTACTCCACACGGAGCCGTTCACAGCGAGAGTAGTTGACATTGTCCCAGGCTGCTATCTGTAGTCCCCAGAGACTGAATTCACGATAAAGAATCCCTACATCCTCCAAATCCATACCGTTTTGGGAACCCAAGATTCCAAGTCCCCTGTTCGGGTTGTCGGGATCAACTTTAAAAAAAACAAAAAAAACTCTTTGCCTTCCAAATAGTTCTTAAGACTGGTTTGGAATAAACAAACAAACACACACACGCGCGTCAGTCTGTGTTTCGCACCTGCAAAGTAACCCCTGCGCGGGTCCAGGTCTTGAGTCTTGTGACGTTCTACAATGTGAAGCCGTTTCCTCAGGCAGTGCAGAGTGAGGTTAAAACTGCACCTCTCCTCCCAACAGCGTGCTCCGTCGGCAGACGGTTGCGCCGCAGCCGGAGGCGCACAGAGAGCGAGTGGCGCCCTCTGTCGGTAAGAGTCCCGTACTGTCTGTCAAGAAGAAGGAGGAGGAGGAGGAGGAGGAGGAGGCAGAGGACAAAAATATGTCGCGTCACATTGCCATGGCGAAAAAGCTGGCCGAATATAACGAAGGCAAATGCCAGGCGGACGTTAAACTGCGCCCAATCACAACCGACTTGGAGAAAGGGCTGTACCACAACTGCAAGAGGAGCTCAGGGAATCCCAGACCCGACCGCTACGCGTCTTATTTATTCCGCTACCTAGTCCCATACGACGTCTACTGCGACTGGGTGGCGAAGGTCAATTATGTGGGATTAATGGGCAAGGAGGCTCTGCCCGCCAACCTGAGGAGGACAATGAGGATGTACATAGAGCGCAGGTTCCCTGTGATGTCCTGTGACGGCTGGAGAGAGATCCGCGACGTCATCAATGAAATACTGCGAGTGAAGAGAAGGCCGGAATTCTTTTGCGAATATGCCAGCAGAAATTCTGCGTTGTTATGAGGAACAGAAGCACACTGGGACAATTGTCATTATGCATCATTGAAATGATCATTGCATTGAGATTTTTCGTTAGCGTTTATCCAAATTTATTTCAAATTGAAAAAGGCATATTCCTCGGCATCGCACTTGAAAACTGTACTTGCGGTCCATACTGATGAATGCTTTAATGAAAAGTTGCATATTTAGTTCAATTATTAGTTGGAATCTCCCCAGAAGTTGTTCAAATATGACGTCTATGATGTACCAAATTGAATAAAATGAAATCCTCGTACCACATTCTCTCGTCTTCCTTAAATGGATGAAAATAGCTCTAAGCATAAGCAATCTTTCTGAACAGGCCAGTCCGTACTTCCATGGAGATAAAGCAGATTGCAGCAAGCGTTTCTTCGTCCAGCACACTTGGTAAGTAGCAGGATTTCCTTTATGCTGGATGTTGTGTTTGTATTTTCCTTTTATGATTGGATTAACCGGAGACACAATGGTTAGCAGTGTCGCCTCCCAAAAAGGTTTTCATTCAAAAACAATTAGAATCGTGGCTCTGATTCTTCTCGCGTGGACTTTGCACGTTTTCCATGTGGTTCAGTCTGGATGCGGTAGTTTCCTTCCACAGTGCAAAGAATGTTTCAAAAGACCAAATCCAACAATGACTTGATCCTACGAGCAAGTATTTCCTGTGTAGCCGAACCCGGAGGGGCCTTAGTTCGACATAAGCGTTGCTACTACTACCGTAAATACTCCCTGGCATACAGAATCAGCCTCCATCACTGTTTACTCTTGTTTGAGTAATGGTTTCAAAAAGTTTACGTTTTCAGTTGGCATGAGTGGCGTGGAGCTGAGGGTCCAGAAAGTATTTAGCAAATAGACTAAAGCATTGTTGGTTTTGGTGTGGGACGTATTTACACCGAGAGACAAAAACTGCCATCCGGATCCTTTAAGTGTCCTTGGGGCATGAGTGTGTGATTGAATGTATCTGCTTTATAGTGCTGCAATAGCTGTTTGCATGCTAGCAGTACCACAATGCAAGGATACGATGGCGAGTAATCTGCTCCTGGTTTTTGCACCCTTTAGTTGACTTTAAGTGATCAGGAGCAGATGAGTAAAGGAGCACAAAATCTCTGTCACATCCTGAAACATTTCTCCTTTTTTTTTTTTTTTTTTTTCCTTTTTCCCGCTCAGCAAATCCAGGCCTGTCAGCTCCGGTCTCAGGTCTGGCCCATACGCCCACCTCCACCGCCATGGTGTCACATGCCCCCATCCTCCAGCTGATCACCACCACGTCTAACGCCGGCTCCAACTTGGCCACCGGCATCACCACTCAGAGCCCCACGGGCACGCTGCTGCTGAAGGCGACCGGCGGGGGCAGCTTGATGGCGGGGGGCCAGCCGCTCCTCATCCAGCTGCCGCTATCGATGACCAATGGCCAGGCAGGAACTCTGGTCAACATCCCCGTCTCCTCGCTGTCCGCGGCCGGCTCGCTCGGCAAGGCCAAAACCACTACTTCCACCGCCACGTTTATACTCAAGCCTGCCCCCGCCATTACCACCTCGCCGCACTCGGCGCCGGTCGTCGCCACCGTCCAGGCGCTCCAGGCCGGCCAGATGTCCCCCGCCCAGATCTCTCTCGCCCGTGCTGTGTACCAGGGCGGAGCTGGGGGGATAACTACACCCAACGCGGGGGTGTCCGTGACCACGGCCAGGATGCCGGCTCAGTCCGTGTCTGTAGCGGGAGCTCTGTCCTCATCCTCTTCGCCTGCAACCTCTGGACCTGCAGCAACAGGCTCCACCGCTCCAGGACCGCCACAGGGGACGTCTCTGACATCAAAGACAGGTGCGGTGGTACTTTGATTACCAAGGCTGTTTTCTTTCGTGGTATTTAAAAAAACACTTGTAGTTCATTCGGGGAGTCCCAGAAATGTCAGAATGGGATGTAAAGACTCTTGGCTTTCCTTGTTATGTAAGACACTTATGTGTTTTATTTTTGTTTAAACAGCAGTTGGCCTTTCTGTGCCGTATGTGCGTCATGTCACCGGTAACTTGTGTTGCCTGATCCATCTCTTGTCTTTGTTCTGCCAAAAGAATAGTCAAAAGTTAGTTGTTGTTTTTTCTGTTTATCTCTAAATTATCTCAACATTTATCCTTTTTTTTTCTCTCTTTTTCTCAGACAATCAAGCTACAGGATCCAATCCATCCAAAGCAGCTGCTCCAGGGGGACGACCCAAAGGCTCCGTCATCGATCTCACTGAGGACGATGATGACGTACAAGGTAAGGGTGATGGACACCTCTTACAATAAAACATACAATAAATTAGCTTGTTATTTCACACACGGTCATGCAAAGTAGTCTGATTATGTTCTACTTCCATGTTCTCCAGTGACGGGAGTGAAGAGCGCCACTGTCACGGCTCCCTCACCCACCCAGCGACCGACCCCAGTCATCAGCATTCCCAACAGTAAGACCACATCATACCGAGGGCATGGTTACACGCGTACATGTGATATTGTGACAAATGCATAAACCAGCGCTCCACACTTATTTCTGGCTATTGAGCACTATTGTGGTCAAACTGTTAAGTAGTTCTACATTTAAAAAAAATGAAAAACACATAATTAAAGTGATGACATGTGTATTTCAGATGTAAAACACAGAGTGTATGTGTGTGTAATTCTTTTCATGTGCTCTTCACTCAGGTGTGGCACCCAGGTCATCCCCGCAAAGCAATCAGAGCGCATCCAGCAATCCTCAGTTGACGGTCCACCACCGCCCCACACAGGTGAGGGTTTAGAACTGCATTTTACAAATGGGATTATCTGCTATGTTTTGGGTGATTGTTATTTGCATATGATTGATTTTTTAAAATATATTTTTTACTTTAAAAGCTTCAATTCAAAGCTGTTTGGAATTTGTTTATCTCAGCATATGACCCGTCCCAGACCCTTTTGTCAATATAAATGATCTCTGGGCTTTTTATGTTTAGTAATCATAATTATATTTAGCCAATTTTGCTCGAGGAACAGCTCATGACAACTTTTTTTGTCTTTCTTTTTTTTTTTTTTTAGGATTCTCAGATGAAACCCCGCCCCATAACCACTAGTACGCCGACCCGGAGCTCCAGCGTGGTGCTGCCCCCCCTCCCCGCTGCGCCCGCACCATCACGACTCCCCCCCGAGGCCGAGCGGTCCTCGCCTCCTCAGCAGCCTCAGCTGAAGCTGGTGCCGAGTCAGACGGGCATAGTGCTGTCCTGGTGCGTCACAGAGACCGACCGCACCTGTGCGGCCGTAGAAAGCTATCACCTCTATGCCTTCCATCAAGACAACTCGAACAGCAGCGCGGCGCAGCAGCACTGGAAGAAGATCGGGGAGGTGAACGCCCTTCCTCTGCCCATGGCCTGTACGCTGACCCAGTTCCAGTCCGGATCCACGTATCATTTCGCCGTTCGAGCCAAAGACATCCACGGGCGCTTTGGCTCCTTCTGTGAACCTCAGTGCACAAATGTCATCAATTCCAGCTCCAGCTGAACAGCTAAGGAGCGGCCAACCAATTGTTTTGCATTTGAAAGTTTGTGACCTTTACTTTTTTGTGTTAGAAACTCAAGTATTGTGCATTGAACTCCTACAGTATCTGTAAATATCTTTCTGCATAACAACTGGACTTCTGAATGGGTTGGAAAATCGAAGAGCGGCAAACGGTTGGTTCTGTCTGGTTAATGTTCATGTTGTATTTTTTGTGACTCAAGCTGTTGTATATAATTGGATTACTTTGCCCCTCAACCAAGTCAGATATTTATGTGGTCGTCTCATGTTACTCTGACCCGGATTTCTTTGGTTTTACTTCAGAACAGGGGAGAGGATCATCGGTGTAAACTCAGAATTGCACAGAAACATATAAATATGTGGTAGAAACTGAATGATATCTTTTGTAAGTTTTGTCTGGCAACCAGACTTTGTCAAACACAATAAAAAAGTTCTTTTAGAGTCTTGGCGTATTCATTTTGTGACGAATTTCATCTTCTGTTTTATGGTTCATAGCTTTTCACTGCAAGTACAGACACTATCAATCTACCACCTTGAATAACAGAGCCCACATTGGCACTCTTGATAACAGCATACAGATGGTTGATGTTTCTAAATGTAGGTACAGCACTTTGTACTGTGCTGCAGCTTTGGTCTACTCGGGAATCTGGTGCCATCAACACTTTTAAAGTTTGCTTGTTAACCACCAAAGATCTCAAATGCAACCTAAAGACTGACTTTGTATTTGGCTGAGATAACTAGTGTGTAACATCACATCAACAAGAAATTATGAGCATACAAGTCACTATATAGTTGCTATCTGTGGTCATTACATTGACTGTTTAACTGGTGAATCTGCCGAATTCGTCCTGGGTTGCTCGTAGTGGCGGCAGCTGTTGAAAACACCAACGGAACATGTAGCTTTCCTTGTAAAAAGCCATCAATCAATTTTAAATACATACTCGTCTGTTTATTATCTGTGATAATGATCTTTGTTATCTAACCATTTACTTAAGTTACTACGAGCAACCACGGACACGTTCTGTGTTGGAATTCTGTTGAAGTTAAATCATTGAAATATCGATTCCGACAACCGAACGTGCAACAAACGCACATCTTGAAGCTGGTTACAGTTTGAATTCAATGTTAAAAGCTTGCTAAGTCGGCAAAACGCCACCTGTTACAAAAGCATGTATATTTTTGATGGCGTCAGCTGTAAAAGGGTCCATGGAGCGTTTCTTCTGTGCAATGCTACATTTACACTACTTTAAAAATCATCTTTGCAAATGTTTTATGAGCACTTTAGGTGTTTCAACAACAATACACAATATGTTTTGGTGAGAGGTTCTTTGTTAACAATACAACTCTGCAGGTTGCCCGTTTTAACTGCAGTTCCCTTTAAATGTACCGCACACAGACCACAAGAGGACGTCGGTGTCTAGCATAATAGTGCATTTCTCATTTGCTTCATCTACAGAAGCAGAGGAGAATCCAAGTACATTGGTAAGCATGAACTCAAGCAAACCTGCAGCCCTCGATTTAGTGCCAAATACCCAGACAGCCCTTTTCTTTAATAGTCAATATTGTACTTGATTGTAATTTACCTCAACAAACAGATCTGCAGTCAGCATTCTACTGATTAATAAAAGTATAGGTGTAACAGGGCAGTCAGATATTGTCATTGGGTCACCGAAATCCAAAGGACCATTTGTCTCAGTGTCATGAATGTGCACAGCAAATACATGTGTTCATGGCCAACAGGTCAGAAGATGTGATCCTTTTAAAAACCAAAGGTAGCCCAGATGGTAGGCGCTGGTAGAGGGTCAATGGGTCTCCTTGTTTGGGGGAGCCTTAAGCGCAGATTGACGATCGATTGTTTGGTGTGATGGTGGTGCCGGAGCAACAACATTGTGTCCCAGTATTTAAAGGCTTTAAATATCGGGAGGCGGATCGCCAGGAGGGACGAGAAATAGGTGGAACCGCTCAGGCAGGACTAGCTCAGGGGGGTCGATGAAGCTAAACCACGCAGCCCCATCGAAACCACAGGAGAAACTGTACCTGCTTCAGAGATTCTTGTGGAAGATTATGCTCAGGGGGAGATTGGGAAGTGGTGAGATTGTACTAGAAGGACAGATTCAGAGACAGACTCAGATTCTGAGGGTTCGAGGCAATTTGAGGGACCTGTCGAAGACCGGGGGGATCTGAGCTAGTAGAAATCAGAGAAGTTCAGTTCCAGTTATTGAAGAGTTGAAGTACATCGGATCGAGCTGATTGCAACAAAGCAGTGGCAACTGGGAAGCGAGGGAGATAGGCCAACTGGACGACTGAAGGTGCAACCATGCTCTGGAGTGGTTGATGCTGGAGAGACACACCTGGATCTGCTGGTTGTCAGCCCTGGAAGACGACAAGGGCAGGAGTTCAAGATGCCCGACACTGGGTCAGGAATCCGGAGTAGTCGTCAGGTGTGACCCCTAAGTCTTCAAACTCCACCTCTGGAGGAAATTTTTCTTGCATCCAAGGAGGGGTTACGAAATCCAAGTGGGTCTTATTCAAAGCGTCAGTTACACAAGACGCTGAGATGAGTTGTACCTAGAAGGTTGTCTGTCCCTGCAATGACACCAAACCTAAGGACTTACTGGTGGACACAAAATGTGACAGAAGGCATCCAGCTGAAGGAGGCCGTTTGGGTGTGGTTAGATCTGGGGACTCGTCAAGCTAGAGACAGGAGTCCAGACGGACCACAGTTTTTTTGCTTCTTGAAGCAATAACTCAGTTTGGTTCTGACAAACCGTCAAATGATTTGTAAAGGGTAGGCATAGGTTAATGCAGGGTGTGCTCCAATCAATTGGCCTTTTGCACTGCTGATCAAAGGGAAGTGTATGCCACGGTGCTGATAAAAGGACGCACTGGCTTATGGTCGAACTTTAGATTCAGGAGTAGCAATGCAGATTCTGTCCTGCTTGTGGAACCGTGGACCAACTCTTTAACTTTGCAGGGATATAAGTGAGTCATGGGAATTCACCCATTCAGTCTACGCGTGCTTGGTGGACTTTGATCCTGAGGTGTATGATCATGTTTCTTAGCGGGTGGGGGGTTAATTTCAAAGATTTGAGGTCACTGAATATTTGCTTAATTCTGTTTTTCTCTAAACTAAACATTTTCTCCACCATTAGCGTGTACTTCAGAACACACATTGAGAATCGCACCACTGTTACTTCTGCTGCGATTATCGAACAAGGCTTATTCAAGAACAGTTTATAAGCAGCCTCGGCTGAAGCCATCTTTACGGAATCATCATATCATGTTCGTTCATTTGGTTATTGTGGTCCTTCGGTAAGGCTAAACTGTTAACCACGCAGTAATGTCCTGTGCATGCTTTCAGTAACCAATGAGGAGGAAGCTTTGCGGCTGTTCATATGATTTGGTAGTCAGTTCAGTTTCAAGATTCGGTATTGCTTTTATACTTGTACTGAACAGTTCTTACAAATAAATTGTTAGTATTGCTGACCAATACAAATTTTCTTAGGGCCGATACTAACGTTGCTATTCATACATTTATGAATATATTGGCATGTTTTTTTAAATTTTACATAAACAAACAATCTGGATACAGATGCTTCAATTTTGTTTTTTAAATGTGTGTGTTAATATGTATGTACATTTTAAGAAATTGTGACAAGTTCCAATTGGGACATTTTACAGTTAAAACACCAGTAGGAAACCAACTTATCAGTGCTGGTGGACAAACTATGGAGGGATGACACTAGGTGTTTCTACATAGCCTAGTTTGTCAGTTCTGTAGTAAAATGTCTTCGTTTTGACTAACACACACACACACACACACATACACGCACACACACATGCACACACACACACGCGATACCTCTATATCTGATATAGATAATATATTTGCCTGTAAATATAATTTTATGACTTTTTATCCTTTGTTCATTTTATTTAACTCACCAATTTATGCTAAGTTTTATTAACAAGTGCTAGCTAAACTCGACATTATGTTGGCTAGCTAGCATTACTTCGCGAACGTTTTCAACAGTAGCAGGTCCGCGCACTCACCGTCTGTTGTAAACGTCAGTCTAACCTCCGTCTAACAGCTAACGTTAACGCTACTAAAGTGAAAAGTTGGTAGTGTTAGATAACTTAGCTAGTGACGTTAGCGTTAGCTAGTTTGTACAAACTACAAAGTGTTTGGTTGTGTTTCAGTTTAACAAATCCATCAAATTATGTGACCTCAATAAGGCATTTAATTTAATTATGGAATAAGCAATTTTAGCATTTTAACCAATGTTGGATTGCCACTGTGAAAGGTTCACTAAAGATGACTTAACGTTATTTTGATATAACGTTACCGAAAGTGATGAACCTAATATGTAAGGCCATACTTCAACAAAATTGTTAATACCACAGTGACAACAATTCTAAAACAATAAAACTAATGTGTTCAAATGTTCAAAAGTTCAAACCTATTAACAGAAAAATGCATTGAAAGTATAAAAAGTGTAATTATATTAGCAGCATTGTAACATTTAGCTGGACGAGGTGTAGCAAAATGTAACTACTTTCTGTGCTGTTGAGTAGTTTCATGAGGAATACATCATATTTAAGGAGGTACATCGTATGTTTCGAATGTAATGTGTTAAATAGTAAAGTAAATAGAAACTGTCAAATAAATACTTATGCCAACTTGAAGTACCTCAAAACATTACTCTATGTGAGTAAATGTTCTTAGTTACTTTTGCAGAAATTATTGCATTAAGTGTAAATGTTATTTTTTTCCCCATAGTTTGTTCCAAACCTCACCGAATTTGAAAGGTTAGATATATTTTTGGTTAAAGTGGAAAACCATAATATAGATAGTGAAAGAATACTGTGTAAAATACATGTTACATTTACTGAAATGTTGCTGGGAAACCTATTCTTGAGGACTTATGATCCTATATGACAAATAGCACTTTTAAGTTTTTTCTCTCTCTTTATATATATATATATATATATATACATTTTTTTTGTTTTTTTTCCTGAACTTTAAGTGTTCTGTAGCTACATGAACCAGGTTGTTAAATTTTAGTCACTTTTGGGCTAATATGAGCTTAAATACACCCATTCTCAGTACAAAACATAGCAGGATTCATTGCAGTGACATAATATCATCAACACTTTTAATATTGCCTTTTAGGAAAGAAAATATTGTTTGCAGAAGTGTTATCCTTTAATTGATAATCTCCAATTAAACCTCATTGACTTATGTTATTTTCATCTTCGAGCACAGTGTGACAACAGAGGGAGCCATTGCTTTCTTTGTAGAAACAATATTCTTGACAATTGTTCCAACAGCAGTCATTTACTGTAGCATCTCTCTAATTCACAATCCTATAGAGGGACCCACCTCCACATCTCGCTCTCTTTCGCTCTCTCTCTCTCTCTCTACAAGAGGGGGAGGAGAGCGAGTGAGTGCAGTTTGAGTTGTGCTCTGCGCTCTTTGCCAGCCAGAGGTGTGTTTTCGGCTCCACTCTCTGTATCTCTGGGTAGCAGCACCCCGCCGTGCAGCCAGCCTTGAGTGCCATGTCTAACAGCTGTCTTGGCAAAGGGTTACAGCTCATCTGAAGGGGGAAGGTGGCACCTTGCTTTGAGGAGGACAGAAGATAAAAGAAGACTGACCAGTTGCAGAGAGAGAGGGGGGATATATAACTGACAACCCCCCCCCCCCCCCCCCCACCTCACTAAACAGGGCAAAAACGGAAGGCTTTGGAGTATTCAATTTTTTCTTTCGTTTTGTATTTTTCTTATTCCTCATCGCGGTGCTGGGAGGTGCTTCATCTTTTCATATAGTCTCTCTCTCCATCACTTGCCTCCTCATCTATTTCTCCATCTACCTGGTGTACAATTTCCTCTATTTATGAGTGAGAGAAAAGAGGAAGGAGGGAGGAGTTTTGTTTGAATTTTTGTCCTTCCTTTCCTTCCTTTCTCTCCACTCTTTCCCCCCTTTTCACCAAACCATATCATACCTGTCAGTCCCTTCTTGTCATTTCATTTCTAGCTGCTGCCATCAGTTCATCATTCCCCATCCTACGCCTCTTTCTGTCTCTGAAGTCTGATGTTATATGAACTTGGATGATTTTTTTTCTTTTTCTTTTTTCAAAGACAACTAAAAAGAAACTCCTCATGAATGACTCTTTTTTTCCCCTTTTCCTTCTCTTTTGGTCCCTCCACACCCATTTTCTTTGCATCACACCCGTGCGGGATTCTTAAATGTTACTCTAGGTAGGTTAACTATCGTTTAGTGTCTGTCCATCTGTCTGTCTGTGTGTATTTGTGTGTGCTTTACGTATACATAAAACACACATCAACACACACATGTGCTCGCACACTAAACTATGCCTAAAACAACAGTGCTCAGTGGGTCCACGTCGGTCTGGTCTCGCACCGTCTTCACACCCTCCTCCTCATCTGTTCTTGTCATCGTGGCAAAGTGCGCCCATTTTTAATCGTTGTCTGTGACAAATCTTTTTTTCCATGTGTCATTTTTTCCATTTGATAAACATATCAATTTGTTTTGCTACCTGTTGTGAATTAACAAGGGAAGAAAACATTAAGTCTGGTCCTGAGGGAGGATGAGATTCATTTCTTGGCACTTTGGCGTCTTTTTATGTTTGGCTCGAATTTGGCAAAGATTTCATGTTTTTTTTGCCAGTCCATCAACAGCTATCAGTTCTCATGCAACCCTCCCAACACACACACACACACACACACACACACACACACACACACACACACA